TTTAATATTTTCACAAGGCACTAAATTTATGGGTAATCTGTTATGATTAGAAAGCAAATGAACTTCCCACTGACTTCTTAATCCCCTCACATCCTCTACCAAAGAAACCATTATCACCAAGGTCTATAATAACGTTTTTTTTTTTTTTTTTTTTTTAAGAACAATCAACAGGCACTTGGATTCCTTATCTTTTCTGATTTCTCTATGGGTTCTGATTCTTTCCATTTTTCTTTCCTTTTCAAAACTGTCTTATCCGGGGGCTCTGTTGCATCACTCTCTCCTGGTTTATTGGCTATCTTTTGGTGACTGCTTTTCCTCTTCTTTCTCTTATTCCACCCTCTTTGGATGTGTTGGTACTTCCTTGCCAATTCCCATTGTCTGGAATGCCAAGAAATTTTATATTCATGCATCAGGTCTCAGCTCATACAACACTGCAATTGACCCTCTTATTTGGCTCTGGGCTCTCGTGAGTGAAGCTGGGCAAGTAGTGAGAACACTGCCTCTGACATCTGATTCTTTCTTTCTCCAGCCAGAGAAAAAAACTCAAGTTCTGATATCAGCAAGTCAGGAGAGTCTCTTCTTAAAAACCTGCACCACCTTTCTGCTGGAATTCTCAAAGCAACTTGATTTTTTCATAAGTACTTCCTTTGCACTTGGCTTAATGGTAAGAATTAGCCCACCCAGAGGGAACAACAAGACATTATTCATATTCACAAGTCTGCTCTGTCAGCATCAGAGCAGAGCCTGGGGCCTCCCACCAAGTTAGAAAAATTCTCCTAAGTGTGTCCAGTCTCATTCACATGGAAGGAGACAAAAAACGACAAAAGGAAGGTATCATATACTCATCCTAAGCAAGAAGGGAAGTAGAGAGGTGGCAGAGAGAAGATCACTACAGAAAGGTTCTTGGAATGAATAAAATCCCTTGATCATACCTTTTTCTCTCAATTAAAAAAAATATGAGTTCTCCAAATTTTTATGCCCTCCAACTGCTCAGAGCAATTATATGATCAGGAGGGTCTAACTAGAATCTGTTTACTACTCTCATCTATTTGTGTAAGGTCAAACTTCTTTTGTTGTTATTGTTTGTCTTGCTGTCAGGCTCTGGTGGCTCTGCTTGGCATGCCATCAGAATCTTCCAGCTGATGACCATGTGCACATCACTTCCTGGCATTTTAGTATAAACATGCCATGTTTCATGAAGCACTTATGGCATTCCAAGCCACTTGTTTTTGCAGTTAGCAGAATACCACAGGGAGGCTGAATACCACAACTCCTTTCAAGGTCTTCAATCTCTGAATTTCTGAGGCTAAAAGCTGTGGATGATTTGTTTTAGTGAACAAAATAAGCAACATCACTAACTATGAGAGAAGAGTCCTAGGTTCCCTTCCCTGCCCTGTTATAGTTTTTTTCTCAGCTGTAATGCCACTAAGAAAGTTCATGTCTTAATGTCTGTGTCTTATATCACAGGATCATGTGAAAAGAAGGATCACTTATTCAAACATTCATGAGATATTTTCTAAGCACCCACAGTGTTTCAGGCATTATGTTAAATGACGGGGACCAGAAATGAGAAAAGGACTTTTTGTTCTTGAGGGGTATACAAATTGAGGTGAGAGAGAGATACATAAAGGCTACTGTAATATAATGTGCTGGTACGAATCTGGTATTTTATTATAAATTGAGGCCTGGGGAATACAAGGAACATTTCTATGTCTAATGCCTTATGCAGATACTTTTGTTGTAATTCATTTTCAGTTGATCTATGAAGTCAAAGTATAATCACATGTCACTTAATGACAGGGATTTATTCTAAGAAGTGAATCATTCAATGATTTAGTCATTGTACAAAGATTATGGAGAGTACTTACACAAACTAAGACAGCTACAATGACAATAGGCTAATCTTAATGGAACCACCATCATATGTGCCATCTATCACAGTTATGTAACATGAAACAGTATTTAATAAATATATATGCTGATATCCAAATTTCCCAGAATTTTATATAAAAAACCTCTTTATTGAACCCCAGCCAGTTCTTCTAATCTTATTTTCCACATCCTCTCCCCAGTTCTAATATCCAAGCTATAGCTAACAAATGGAGACTACCCTCCCCTCTCTACCTGTTTCTTACTATGTGCCCCCAAATGCTGCCATTTCAAACTTCTTAAATCAGAGTATCTTTGATTGAGATTGTACCAGGAGTCAGGCACTATTCTAGGCTCTTTGCATATATTATCTCAATCTCAAAGGAAGTTGATATCAATACTTCGTTTCATAAAAAGGGAATCTAAGACCCACAAGTTCAAGTAACTTGCTCAAAACAGCATAGCCAGTGTCCTGAATCACTTTTGTTTTTCCTGTATCACAACCTCTTCTACCATGAACCTCCTTGTCCTCAACTTCCATTCATGTCTCAACATGTTTTCTATCCTTATCATCCCAATCATACTGTTCCCACTAAAGTCATCAAATGACATTCTAATTTCCAGAATTAATGTGTTTGAGGGGACTATATGAGTTTTTCATTATTATTATTTTTACTATAGACTCAACTCTTTGTTGAAAAACCCTTTATTTTTTTTTTCTACAGAGTCTCACTGTATTGCCCAGGCTGTCTTAGAAGTCTTTAACTCAAGTGAGCATTTTAAGTAGCTGAGACTAGAGGCACACACCACCGCAACTGATTCCTTTATCTTTTATTTTCATATATTACACAAGTCCTTTTGACTTCCTGGCTTGCGTCTGCCATCATATTTTCTACATTCTGGTCGCTATCTCCATTCCTATCACTTTTACTTCAATACCTAATGTCTCCATTGCCAACCTCTCCCCTGTGCTCCAGATTCACACTTTCAACTATTTTCTACATATCATCCTGCAATGCCACCAAAGCTGCTCAAGCTCAGCATCAGACGTCTGATCTCCTCCTACCCCCTTTCAAGATCCTTTACTCTTTCCTCTATGAATAATGCCATCATTCATTCACAGTCCGGGATTATAAGCTTCATTCACGATTGATTTTTTTTTCTCATTTACTGTCAGCGAACAAGTCCAACTATTTCTACCCTCATATGGTTTTCTTCTTGTACCTACTGTCACYGTTTTAATGTTAAGCTTTATCACAGTTCTTTCAGACAAATCGCTCTGTTGTCATTTCTCTTTTAACTCTAATACTATCTGCAGATAAGACAATCCTTAGGCTTTTCTATGAACATTTAAGTCTCTTATTTCTGAATTTAAGAGGATTTCGAGTTAACTGCTTATTTTGTATAGCATTTTCACGTTTGACTATCACTTTCAAATTATTTAGTGATTTTTTTTTTTAAACATAAGGTACTTTTGCTTAAATATGCCACACCAGAGCATGTATTTGGGATGCATAAATCCACAACATTTGTATTATTATGTTCAAGACATATTATGTATTATAGGGAAGAAAATGCTTAGTAAAAATGAATTTAACATGGAATAGGAGAAATAACATATGTACTGAAATAGTTATAATACATGCTGGAATATGATGAATATAAAACTGGTACATAAAAAAATCCATCAAAATTACATTGAGGGAGTGGTTTCTTCAACTGAAAGAACCTAAGCAGCTTTGTTAATGAGTTTATTTCTGAGCAAGGACATCAGAAAATGAGCAGAATGTGAATGGCTAAATATTCTTCACACACATTATTGAAGCCCATTTACGTGCAAAGCACTACACTTAGTACTATGGATACAGAAATGAGTAAGAGACATTCCTTGACATCCAGTTGTTTCCAGTTTAGTAAAGAATAAAAATAAAATCAATTCTTACAACAAAATGAAAAGGAATTATGATGGAGATTTTTTTTTTTTTAGAAAAAGCTACAAAATAATAAAGAAAATCACAAAGATGAAGGAGAAATAGCAACAGCACCCCACAGGGACTGTGTCTAAGAGAAGGTCCAACTTGAGCTGAGCACAGGCTCAAGCAACCAAGGACAAAATGGAGGTGATCTCAGGAGGAAACAACATTCCACAATGTAGCACAAAAAGACGGATTCATCAATAAGGGGGGGAAAATTGTTCAAACTACTTTGAGAGGCTTTCAAAGTGCTTGTCTAGTAGCTCCTCAAGAGGGCATATCAGTACCAGCTCATGCTCCCTTGTCAAGGAGTCAGAGCTCTGCTTCTACTACCTACTCTCCAAAGTCAGCCTCTGCATTCCTATATTCTAACCAAACCTTGCCAAAAGTCACCTTCAGTTTTTATTAAACCAAATCACTTGTGGATGGTTAAATCTCCCTTTTTTTTTTTCCTTTAAAATTCTCTATTGCTGTCACAGACGTGGGTGTTTTACTTCAGAAGAGGCTGTCTACCTGAAAGAAGTTTCCGATCTTGCTGTAAGTTTTGGAGTGGAATACTACTACCACCACCACCACTACCACCACCCCGCCTCGCCCCCCCAGCCCCCGCCACACACACATACTCCAGTGAGCACAGTGCTATTCTGGAGGCTTCCAGGACCACAAAAGACATTTTCTTTAAGACACCTGGGGGAAACTATTGTCCTCAGGTACACCTATTTCCTGGATTAGGCTTTCACTATTCTTTTATTAGTTTAAAAGCAATGTCCACCTCTAATAGCCACTGAATGCTGCCTCACTAGATCTTTCTAATGTCCAAAATGTGCTTCTTAAAGCAACCAACTCACCAAGTGTTCTCTCCTGACACCCCCCAACACAACCTTTGCCAGGAATTGTTCAAAGAGGTTATATTCTCCCAAATCTGCCTTGTGTTACAAATTCTTTCAGCCAATTCATGGTATAATTTATATGTCATTTTTATCTCATCATTTTATCAATGTTGATACTGTGATGATTTATGATCTTGAGATTTGGGGGTTTTAATATATACCTCTTTAAAAGTTTTATATACCTTAAACTGGAAGACCTTTGCAGACAGCCCAGGACAAAAGGCATATAAACAATTTCTTTTCCGTAGGGCAAGAAGAGAAAACCTACCTGTCCATGCTTTTGCTGAGAAGCCATCCCATGAGAAATTTCAGAATATGATGAGGACTTGAGATCCGTGCCCCTTATTTTGGGACGCACCACGTCAGAGACCAGACTGGAGGAGATTGCCAGAGACTTGGGCCGGGCAGCCATGTTGCCCATGCCCCCTGGGGGACCTTGCTCGCCTTTTCTGCTTGTAACTTCATCTTCCCCTTCAGAGTCCACAATAAAAACATATTCTGCTTTGAAGAGGTCACTTTGCTGCATGCCTTGAGGTTGGTTTGTTTCAAGTACCCTTCCTTGTATACTCTTTCCACTGGCCTCTGATGGATGAGTCAGTGTCCCTTGGTTTCTCTCTTCTTGGCTCCCGCGATTAAAGGTCAGGTAGTCATTGGAATTAGACTGCAACACAAAGAGATAAAAACATTAACATTGGCTTGAAAAGATGTCTCTTCTTTGTTAACATACACTGAAAGTTTTTACCTGCTTATTAAAAGTTTTTTTTTAAATATATTTAAAAATCAAGTTGACTTAATAGAGATTGGATTGAAGTTAATGGTTTACTTTTACTAGCCCACCTGGCTCAAGCCCAAACTGATCAGGGCTCAGAAACAACAACAACAAATAAACCTAACTGCCTCCTAGAAAAATCATAGTATAATTTTTTAAAATTTTTATTTATTTGCTTATTTATTTATTTTTTTGGTACTGGAGATTGAACCTAGGGATGCTTTCCCACTGAGTCACTTCCCAGACCCCTTTTTTATATTTTATTTAGAGACAGGATCTCACTGAGTTGCTAAGTGCTTCGTTAAGTTACTGAGACTGGCTTTGAACTTGCGATCCTCCTGGATCAATCTCCCATGTCATCATAGTATGACTTTTGATTTAGAGAAAGAGAGCAAGCAATGTTGTGTGTAAAGATATTCACAAAACAAATGGAGATTAATCAAAGGTTTAGTTTACTGGTCATACAACCTGTATATCTTTCATAATCCCAGAGAGGAGGGGAGAAAATAACATTGAAAGAGTCTACAATAATATAAATCTCTCTGAAAGTCTGAAAAGAAAAGTAAAATTGGAACAAAATGCAGAGATAGTTACATAAAACAATCTAAGCTAATTGGGAAGAGCTCATGAATAGAACACAAAAAGATACAGGGACATTTTTAGAACAAAGTCTATGTAATTTAGATTTGCAATTCTCAATCTCTTCCTATTGGATTTTCTTTGAATACACAGAAGTGTTCCAAAACCAGAATTAACCTGGCTTTATCAAGATACCATACTTCAGCCATACATATCAAGACTGTGCTTAAAAGATTCAGGTCAATTTCCTTGTTTTGATAACTATTCTATGATTACTCTTTTTATTTTCTCTGCAACTTTTCTGTAAAGCTAAAAATATTTCAAAATAAAAAGATGAGCCACTAAATAACAATTTCCACTATGCTGGTCAATTCAGTATGTGACAATGTGTGGTATATGTTGTGTGAAGCTAGAAGGAAAATGATGGATTAGACATGAATAGGCCAACAAATAATTTTATACACCCATCCCGCAATATTCAAATGCTGTTGCTGATATACTTAAGATAAAGCAGAAACTACCTCAGATTAGGATTTCTCTGTCCAACTTTCTCTATTCCCTTATTCTGACTTACTTTTTATTTCTAAAGCATTTAGCACTACCTAATATTTTGTTACATTCTTTCTGTTTGTTTTTCTTTTCTCGTTTTATTCCTCAAATAACCATATGAGCTGTCTTTATTCACAAGGAATACAATAATCAAGGACAAAGTATATATTCTGTGAAGAACCATTAAACATGTAAGTGAATAAAAGGTTACTTAAGCCTATTCTAATATTGAACAGTTTGCAAAACTGGGGAAAATCTTTAATTTTTTAAAGATGTGATTACATGTATATCATTGCAATTGGCTGATAAAAATTTGCAATCTTGGAGGTCTGCAACCAAGATCTGTTCATATACCTACAGTTACACTGTTCAGAGAGACTAATTATATGTTGTTGAGAACTATTCAAAAGAAGCTTCTCACAAATGTCTTATAGAATATTCTTTAAAATAAGATAATAGCAATGAAAATCTCAGGATCATTGGCAAATTACTACTTTATAGATAGTGTATTTCCATATACACAAGATGAATCCAATTATTTTATCCCCTTCCAATTGACTCAAGAATAGCACAAAATTCTCATAATCTCATTTTATTAGAACAATAAGTAAAACAATATTAAAATACATTTTAAAGAGAAAAAATTTATCTAAACTATTACTGTTCTAACACAAATCATTTTCATATTTTTAAATTTAAATTTCTTCCCCAGGACTTATTTTAGACAGATATAATCAARGTGAATATGAGGAATAAAATTTTGTAGCCTACTTTATCACCTAATAAAATACGGTTAATTAATATTTTCTATTGAATTGTATAATCACTCTAATTATAACTCTGTCAAGCTTACACACCAGCATATTCTTAATTTTTGTCTGATTATTAGATATGAAGCTGTTTTACTTTATGTAATAATTATTTACATGACATTTTCCTTCTTTTGTACTATTTCCCTCATATACATTTCCAAAAGTAGATTATGGAAAGCTTATGAATAGTGCTATGACTGTGGATAAAGATTTCCAACCCAATTTTACAAATTTGCAAAACTGCATCAACATTGGGTGTTATTCATTTTAATCTTCCTAATTTATTACATGATGAATAACAATGTTTCACTGTTTTGTCTTGCATTTTCTTTCAAGATAAATTTGAACACTAAAAAATTTTACTATTTTTAATTGCTTTTAATGGAATAAAAACTTATTACTCAGCAATAAAAGAGAATACAATTTTTACTATCTTAAGATGCATTTGGGAGAATGCATTCGGGTCATTTGGGATGCAGAATTTGTTCCTGAGAATAGTAAACAATAGGATATCAACTCAAAAGACTTGAGAATAGTCAGGCACAGGGGCACATGCTATAATCCCAGTGGCTTTGTAAACTGAGACAGGAGGATCACGAGTTCAAAGCCAGCTTCAGCAAAAAGTGAGGCACTAAGCAACTCACTGATACTCTGTCTCTAAATAAAATACAAAATAGGGATGGGGATGTGGTTCAGTGGTTGAGTGCCCCAGAGATCAGCCCCCTAGTATCCCCTCCCCCTGAAAAATAGTAGTTGAGAAAAATGCATTAGAGAAAACATGGGATTTGGTAACATTTAGGCTTCTCGTGTAAAATTATATATATACATATACATATGTATATATGTAAAAGATATATAATATATATAATTATATATATAATAGATAATACACATATATAATATTTTCAGTGCTGGTGAACGAACCCAGTATCTTGCACATGCTAGAAAAGTACTCTACCACTGAGCTACACTGCAGATCTCATAATTAAATTTTTAATCAACCTTAAATCTCAGTATCTAACTTTAAGCAGAGGAAATAAAGATTGACACAGAATTTCAAGTCGTTCTTATGGATAATGTAACATAATTGTTTGGAAAAAAAAGAATAAAAATAATCCTACCCTATTTACAGTTTCTGGACTCTTATCACTTGGTTCCTCGGGAATTTTAACAAGGAATTTGGAAGTGTCAGTCAACTGAATGTGGGTTGGTAATCTTCTGACAGTGGGGACAAATGTGAAGATCAGAGGTTTAGCTTCAGAATCACCAGAAGAGACCTATGAGATATGTAATAAATTAGACTTTCAGCCTTGTCAAATTTCATCTTGACTCTATTTTTCTATATACCATCATATTTATCTCGTTTATTTTGATAAATTGTCCATTTATCATGAGTATGGCTGTTAAAAAAAAACATAAAAATAGTCAGAGTATATTAGAACTTCTTTTATATTACCATTTACCAAAGAAAGCAATCAACCCCGGGAAGATCCTGCTGTAAGGGATGGTAATTACTCAGTGGGCTAGCAAGCTGATCAGCTAGAACTTTACAGGGTATCTCTACCTTAGTGAGATCACCACAAATACAGTATTGGGTCAGTTTGAAAATTGACTTTTATCCCCTTAAATCTAGGTTAGCAGTTTCCATTAATTGACTCATGATCAAAAAGCATGCAAGAAAATTCCAACTTTTATCACTTTCAAGAATGTTAAATTATGGATTTATTGAAAGCTTACCTATCCACAGTGTCTTCTCTGAAGGATATACCTTCTCTTTCACTTATTCTTAATTCATTAAAAATAATTTTATTAAGACTTTGCTCTATGGCAGGTCCACAGGAGCAGGGGATATAAGGCTAACTAGGAAACTGTACACTACTCATTTTAAAAAAAAATGGTATCTCCAGAATGCTAAGGAAGCAGTGATAAGGGGTTCCTACCCAAAATAGGAAGTCATAAAAGGCAACACCTGAGATGTAAGTATCAGTGAAAGGAAGCTAAGGGCACCCCAGGCTGGGAAAAGCTAATGAGTGAAAGATGGTAAGCATCACCGCAGGGTGTGACTCAAACTTGGGTTTTGTCCTGTTGGCATCAGAGAACCATTTAAGCAGTATTGATTGAGAGGTGACATGGTCATATTAAATTTTCATATAGATGAATCAGGCATTCAAAATCACAAAGCCAAAGCCAAAAGCCATAAACTGAGGACTAAATTGGAAGGGAAGTAAAGGAAATGGCAATGTAGACTATTTTTTTTTTTTAGAAGTTTGGATGTGATGTTAAGACAGAGTTTGAGAGTAGTTAGGAAAGTAGAGTCAACGAAATGCCTCTGTTGGTCTTATAATGGAGTAAATTTGAATGTATCTTCAGACAGTTGGAAAGACCTGCAGAAAAGGAAAGGGGAGCAAGATCCTGAAGAAAGCAGAAAAAGAAGATGAGGAAACAAATGAAGGAACAGGGTCTCCTTTGAGACTACAGTAAGTGACCTAAGATGTTTAAAGACATGAATGTTTTTCGGTGGAGGAAATGGGAAGAGTGGGAAGTGCATGGGAATAGGAAACAATACTGAGAACAGTAAACAATAGGATATCAACTCAAAAGAGTTGAGAATAGTCGGGCACGGGGGCACATGCCTGTAATCCCAGTGGCTCTGTAGGCTGAGACAGGAGGATCACAAGTTCAAAGCCAGCCTCAGCAAAAAGTGAGGCACTAAGCAATTCAGTAAGACCCTGTCTCTAAATAAAATACAAAATAGGGCTGGGGATGTGGCTCAGTGGTTGAGTGTCCCAGAGCTCAGACCCCCAGAATTCAGCCTACCTTTTTTGGAGGAGGGTTCCCGGGATTGAACTCAGGGGCACTCCACTGAGCCACAAGCCCAGCCCTATTTTGTATTTTATTTAGAGACAGGGTCTCACTGAGTTGTTTAGCACCTTACTATTGCTGAGGCTGGCTTTGAACTCAGGATCCTCCTGCCTCAGCCTATAAAGCCACTGGAATTATAGGCATGTTCCACTGAGCCCAGAGGAATCACTTTTGATCTAACTAATTTTCACGATAACATCAGCCCCATGTAGTCAAAATAGCACTGCCCCTATGCCATCTCCATGCCTTCCTCAGAAGATACATGCTTGGGACCCCTCAGACTGTATGTCCTTATAGGGATCATCTTTAACCTGGTTCACATTAGTGCCCATGAGCAGCCGGGGCTCTAGGTCATCCCTTGCTCCCTACATGCTTTGCCCATCCCCAGTTTTGTTCCTATCTTGCCTCCTGCTCCAAGTCTGGAAACCATTTCATTGTGCACTTCCTGGTATTCTGTCAGCCATTATAAAACCCTACTTGTCCTTAACTTCTCTAAATATTTCCTTTACTTTCTCATTCTAACACAAACATGCTTCTCTCTGAAGGTCTATCTCCCCAAGAAGCTCTCACAGTGGTGGCATTTCCTCTCACACTTCTGTACCACTGCCTGGAGGGAGGATAGATATCCTCCTTGCTCCTTATTAATATCATTATCATTATTACTTTTTTTGCTTCCAGACCATTCTTTTTCTCTCTTACGTAAGCACTTCTAGCTTTGAACCCCATGCCATCAGTCTGTTCCATTCATACACGTCCCAGTAGCAGCCATCTGCCCACCCATACCTTAAAAGCCCTTCTTTCCTTGAAGATGTTCCTGGATCAATGCTATTCTTTCCAAAACTAGGCTTTTTAAAATCCTCAATATAATGTTTTAAGGGATAATTTTTCTAATATTGTGTTTCCTTGACATTTTATCTTCCTTGCTTCTCACATTTCTAGCCTAGATCAGTAGCTTCATACCCTTTATAATTCTTTTATTCTCTGACCACCACTTCCTATACTCTCCAAATCACTCCATCTGGTACTCCAACATCTACTTGATTTTTCCAACATCATGTTTTCCTACAATATCTTTTTAACTAGTCTCAATAAAAATTGCCCAACTGACCACAATTAATCCCTCAAATGCCTTGGCCTCTCTTACATCATCATCCCATGAAATCACAGTCCTTACTAAATCAAACCTTCTATCTACTCTATTCCTGCATCAGGAGATACACATGGCTAAGAGAAAAACAAATAACCATCCTTACTGGTCTCACTTCAAATTTCTAACTCTGAGCCTCAAGCCGCCTCCTCAATGCTCTTCCACAATCATGATTTACTTTCATATCCCATTCACTATTCCACCAACCTAGAAAACTCTTTCACACCTTTTTCCCTTTCTTCAAACCTTTAACATATTCCCCATTTTCACTCTGAGCTGGTGACTTGGTTTCCCATTTCACCCACACCATTGAAGGTCAGTATCACACCTTCTTGTCAAGCTGAATCTCTGCCCTTTTCCATGGTCTTTAGTCCTGCGACTATGCTGTCACTAAAATCAACTTTCATTTGAACACATGGCTATCTATTCACTTTTGTTTATTCCACAATGTCTTATTAAATGCCTACTAAATGCTAAGCACTATTTCAGTGATTGGGTGAACAAAAGTCCCCACCCTCAAGGAGTTTACTTTCTCATGAAGGAAGGTAGCTAGTAAATAAATAAATACATAAAACATATAGTAGAATACAGTAGTTTCATAAGTACATGAAGACTTGCCATGAGATTATTGACATAACACATGGAAGATAAAACAGTGGCTTATACTTGGGTGTCTTCAATGATTGTAGTGAGAAGTGTTTGAGTATGGCCCTAATTCAAAGGAAAAACACAGAATTGGAAGTGAAGTATGAGAGACGGACAAAAGATGAGTATAAAATGTTTGACCCAAATAAATGCAGGAAATGGGAATATATATATATATATATATATATATATATATATATATATATAAAAGACAACCATTGAAACTTGTTTGAGAATAATGATCAAGATCAAATTTGATATGCCCAATATACATTCAAGTTGGAAATGTGGGTAGGAGAGTGAAATTTAGAGGAAAATCTATGCTGGAGGTAAAATTGTTTGTGTTGCTTACTCTGGATGGTATTTAAAATCAGGAGACTAGATGATGCCAGCAAGAGAGTAAATACAAATAGGAAAAAGAGGTCCATGGTTGAACCTCTGAAACTCTGCCATTACATGCACCAACAGATGAGAAAGAACTAGTACAGATGGTATGCACATCTTAAGTAAGATCGAAAGGCCTGCAGCATCATCCCCCAAAACAAAGGGACTGACAGACTTTACTGAATACCCAGTCCAAATTAAATCCAGGAATCTGTAGCGAGTTGTTTGGCTGTTCGGTAGTCTCTGGRATGATGCTGACCTGACTGTCCAAGGAACAGAGAAAGTAAATCAAGGCATTTATAGAGTTTATATTTGGAGGTAGTTTCAGGAGAAGGATTTTGTGAGTGTAAAGAAATTAAGGATATTTGTGTGAATTGAGCACATTATCAACTGCAGAGTTCAGTTTGAATCCATAAGGAAGGAAGATCTCAAGTTCAAATATCTAGAGGTCTATGGCCCAGAAAATAGATCTGATACAGTGGTAACTATTTGAGAGAATTCTCTGAGGTTATAACATGGTACATGAGGGTTTAATCATTAGAAGAATGGTGATTTGGATGATTTTAGAGTCTAAACTTCAGTCCTGAGAAAAATATGGGAGAAAGAGAGCTTATAAAGGTCAAGAAACTGTGAGGCAAGAAGGTCAAAAAAGCCATTTTTGTGAAAAGAAAAGCTACACTGGGTGATAGCAAGATCAGGCAGACAGACTGACAGCACAGCAGCACAATCTTGGATAAGTGTGACACTGGGGTCAGAAGTGTCCCCAAAACAGAATACATGGAACACTAGATTATTCATTAGAGACATTCTTTTGGAGCATGAAATCAAACAAGGAGGACTGAATATCCTTCTCATAGGTTTCACCCACATTCTAGATAGGCCAAGTGAAATAACCTGGATCATTGGTTATGCGGTATAACTTCCTGCTAACTAGAATACCTATGCCTTGTAGAAACAACGTATATTCCTGAAGGTGTATCAAGCAGACAAACCCTTCTGAAACAATTTTCATTCTTCAACATTTCTTTCTGCCTTTATTCCCTTGTTACTGTCATGTCCCAATTCCTAGGTGGCAGCTTCTCATCAGAAGCAGTAAATCACTACTTTCCTTTGTAAGAAGGAACATCAAATCCCTTGTGAGGCTTAGGGACCCCCSTAGGCTGATGAGCAATTCACAATACTGTGGACTTGTTAGATGTTATTTTCTTGGAAGGTTTCTTTACATGACTAATCTTATCA